GGCCGGTTGTTCAAAGCTGGGCTGCTTAACCCTAGGTTAACCTAAAATTCAAAGCAAACTTTCCAACAGCCTGTTTATAAATTTGGAAATATTTCTTTAGAAATCTTGTCTGAATCAGTAGGAGTTTTCTTCTCTGAAGTTTTGAAATAAACAGACGTGCAGAAATACATCAACTAAAACAGCTGGTAAAATTTTAACTCCAAGGGTTAGTGCTTAGCTTTCACACATACCTCGCCGTGTAGAGGTTGTAATTTAGTATTCATGTCTCTCAACGTCTTCTCTGCTCCTTCTTGCCATTTATAAGCACGATCAACTTTCCTATTCAACCTCTCGTAGTCCTCACTGGGAGGGACCCCCTCCATGATATTACCAGGAGGGGTAGATGGGGGCCGGGGGCGACTCTCAATAGCCTCCTCTAGTTCGGCTACGTGTTTATTAAGGTTCGTTAATCTGCTGTCAAAGTCAGCTAGACCTCGAACTCCCAAGTTATTGGAGTCGTCTAACATTGCGAAAATTTCGTTCCTTGCCTGTAAAAAAATACAATGAATATTTATTAAGTACAATTAATAATAAGATAGCTAGATTATAATCATGGTCTCAGCTTATTGTAAAATACTATCTACACTGGAACACCGCCTTGACACAAACCAAGGCATCTTATTGTAGAATACTACCTACACTGGACCAACACGTTTGAGATATTTTTTCAGGTAGTTCAGACACAAACCACGACAGCTTATTGTAGAATACTACCTACACTGGACCTCCACGTTTGAGATATTTTTTCAGGTAATTCAAACACTACCCATAGCAGCTTATTGTAGAATCCTAACTACACTGGGTCATTACGTTTTAATTTTCATTATCAAGCCTTACTTGTTCGACGGCTTCCTGTGTCTGTGACGTCACACCGGAGATCGCCTGTTGTAACGTTGCCACGGCAACAGCCAACTTCTCGTGAAGTTCATTACATTTATCCAAAGTTTGTTCATTCTGAGTTTGTCTTGAGACGATCTCTGCATGAAGCACTTCTTCAAACGCTTTCTTGCCTGCTTCGATCTCATGTTCTAATAATGTTATACACTCGTTCATTTTTGTAAGGCTTTGATCCTCGTGCACCTTTGTCAACTGAAAGAGAAATTTAATTATCTCATAAACAATTTTCACATATTTCATGCTTGCTCTGCATATATATATATGGCCCATGCCTGCAAATCATTATTTTACACAGCAAAAAACGCCCAGCCTGCAACAATGTTGTTGAAAACAGGCCTGAACAATACTCTGCTGCCCATATTGTTCTTGGTTGTTAACAATATTGTTCAGCATTGTTCAGGCTGACAATGTCAATGCTGAACAATTTGTTAACAACCAGGAACAATACGGGCAACAAAATATTGTTCGAGCTTGTTTTCATCAACATTGCAGGCTTGGCGTTTTTTGCTGTGTATTTGGAAGGGCAGAACAAAAATTGGTCGGACATTTATCAATTTTTCTCTGACAATGGAAAAAGTCGATTCTTTTTTTAAAATTAGCAAGATGTATTTCGGCTGGTTAGGTTAGTCCGCACTGCAATGCATCTAAAACTGCGTATATATCTACCAGTCCTAACCCATCAGTAAATTATGGTTCAAGTTATATATAAGTTTCAATTTCTACCGTGTTATACGCAAGTGATGTAGATGTATAACTGTGAAACTCATCAATAATTCATGAAGAAAATACAAAAGAAATTAATGTTTAATCAATGTTTGTAAATCGGATAAAGATTTGTCCTGATTTACATAAACTTCAGCTTTGATTTTCTCGGATTAGACAATGTCTATTTTTAAAATTACTTCACCAATGAGCTAATAAATTGGGTCGTTTTTTAAGCACGTTAAAACATTCGCATCCGATCTTTATCTGATATACAAACTCTCGCCTTTGGCTCGAGTTTGTATACCAGATAAAGATCGGCTGCTCATGTTTTAACTTAGTACTTGTGAAACTCATTAATAATTCATGAAGAAAACACAAAAGAAATCATGAGCGCGAAGGAGTTTGTATATCTGATACAAAATCATGCTGATTGACATAAACTTTAAATTTAATTATGATTATTTTATTTTTAGTTAGTAGTTTAGTTAGTAGTTTAGTTGGTAGTAAAGAATGAGTTTAAGTACCTCGACACTGTTAACTTTCGCAATCTGAACAGTTTCTTCTCGGGGTGAGGTTCGAGTCGAAGCCCGAGGTGAGCCAGACCTGGGCGAACCAAGTGACAGTCTGCGGGAGGACACACGGGGGGAGTGTCGTGGGGACATTGGCAAGTGGCTTGACTGGTAACTGTCGCGTCCACTCTGCATGTGAATGGATTAGTTTTAATTTGGTTGCACGTTAGTTGGTTAGATTGTTAGATTTTATTTCATTTCATTTCATTTTATTTTAATGGTTTTGTTTGTGGAAACACCACGTAAATTAATTACTGCAAAGCTTTCGATCCGTAAGCCCGGATCTTCATCAGTGCTAATAATATGAAGATCCGGGCTTACGGATCGAAAGCTTTGCAGTAATAAATTTACGTGGTGTTTCCACAAACAAAACCATTATATTTTATCGCCATGCAAACATACAAAGAACTCTATTTTATTTTATTTTATTTTATTTTATTTTATTTTATTTTATTTTATTTTATTTTATTTTATTTTATTTTATTTTATTTTATTTTATTTTATTTTATTTTATTTTAGAGTCCCAAATTAAGTCCTACCCACACATTACATTAGACAGATTTGGATCGAGGACGCGGACGTCAAAGACGACGTGAAAATGGCGTGTTGTGTCCATATATGGATATGCCACGCCATTTCGACGCCATTTTCACGTCGTCTTTGACGTCCGCGTCCTCGATCCAAATCTGTCTAACGACATTGTAAAACAATAGAATCAGGGTTACAAACTTTAACAAAGCTACAGCACAAAAATACAACACACGATCAATGCGTTCCAAAGTCAACTACCTTAAGAAGAAGAGAGCTGAAAAATGCAAAGAAGGTCTGGTGGAAAATGACCAAGATTTAAGATTTAGCAGAGAATAGGAACAGGTACAATAAACCATTGAGATCATAGCAATTGGCCAAAAGCTGTTGCGATCTCTGATTCCCAAGTCACAGAATATATATTGACTATACCGTATCATGTATGTGATGCTAGAGATGTGAAAAAGTTTTTAAAATTTAATAAAAATACAAAATCTTACCTTAGCATTTTGCCTCATGTTTTGCAATTCTTCGGCCAAATGCATTTTCACAGAGTCAAGGATTTTTTCCATCTCATGACGGACAGATTTCTCAAAGGCTAACCTGGATGTCTGCTCTTCATGGAATCTCTGGATTTAAATATAGATGAACACAAACGTTACAGGGTTCGTAGTCTCCAAGACCAAACATATTCAAAGACTTTCAAAGATTTTTTCTGCCTATTGTCAAAGACTTTTCAAAGACCTTTGAGAGCAATCAGCTGTCGATGTATATAAGCACCCTTTTTCCAAGTACTGTAATTAATCCCGTCAAATCACATCCTAAAATACACTTTTTCGTCCATATTTGCGAAAATCATGCTTCAATCAATCTATTTTATTAGCTAGGAAGTTGTATAATCAAATACTCACTAAAGAATTTAAAGACTAATTTAAAGACTTTCTTCGCTTTTTCACACAATTCAAAGACTTTTCAAAGCCTTAATGCCCTGCATTCAAATTTAAAGACTTTCAAGGATTTCAAAGACCGCTACGAACCCTGCGTTAATTTCTACAGGGTGTATAAAAAAACGAGATCTTTAGAAATCATGAACTGCCTTTGCCAGTATATGCAACTACCTGAAAATATATAAGGAGAATTTCGACGTAACTCCAGACGAAGGGCCTTCGCTCGAAACGTCGAAATTCTCCTTATATTTTTCAGGTAGTTCCATCCTTACCAACGAAAGCTTGTTGTTTAGAAATTTTTTTTCAATGAAGTTATTGTTGGAATTTGAATGCATAGCAGTATGCTGAATGTACGCGAGCGTAAAACAGAAGAGAAGTGAATTTTATACAGGGTGCGATACTTCGCGTACTTACGTACTGGAGGTACGCCATTATTACTGTCTGGTACTTCTTTGTTTTCAACCACGTACCACGTAGGTACGCCGAACTTTTGCTATCTGCGTACTTATTTTTTCCTGGTACCACATGACCTTTCCACGTCCAAGGTATTCAATACCGTAATTTAGTTGGTATATCATGTGTCTGAGATGTCTTGGCATGAAACATGATTGCACTGATGGCACTAAGAAACGTTGGAGTCGGTTGTTTGAAATAGCAAAACACCCTTTTCAAATAGCAAAACTCCCTTTTCAAATAGCAAATCTCCCTTTTCAAATAGCAGAACACCCTTTTCAAATAGCATAACTCCCTTTTCGAATAGCAAAACACCCTTTTCAAATAGCAAAACACTTTTTTCAAATAGCAAAACTCCCTTTTTCAAGAATAACAAATTTCATCTGAGCTTCTTCTCTCAACTGCATTTCAAGAAATTATTGGGGAGGGGGCAATTCACCACATTGTCTCTCCCCCCCCCCGACCCTCTCCACAACTCACCTTTTCAAGAATAACAAATTTCATCTGAGCTTCTTCTCTAAGCTGCATTTCTCTCTGAAGTGCTTTCTTGTTCGTTTCCTCAGTGAGTTCAGCCATCTTGTAGGTCATTTTACTTTTCTCCACTTCGTGAACGTTGTCTTTTTCTCGCATGTTTAAACTTGCTGTGTGGCTCACTTCCTGATACTTTGTCTCTAACTCACGTACGGCAACCTGCACCTTCTCCACGCTGTATAAAAGTTAACAAAAAAATATGTGAAACTCTTTGGTATTGATGAAACTATTTAGGAACGTCGCTAAGTCATTAACAAGTTTTGACCAACTTTCAAAGGTACGACACCGTCAAATTCGTGATGAAAAACCTGAATGCTTAAGAGGTGGTTTTTGTTTTTTTACAAGGTGAAATGTTCAAAATAAATTTTTTCTTTCTCAAAATTTTTTCTTTGCGCGTTTGCTATAGTTAGTTGATAATGTAAACTATTTTCCATTTTGACCAACCTTTTGAACATAAAAAATAACTTTTATACGACTGATATACGAGGAATACAATCATTTACGAGGCTTAACTAAGACAACTGGTGGCTTATTACTCATGTAGGGAATATTTTTAAGTTTCAATAAATTTAAAGTATGAAATTAATGTGCTCCTGCAGTGAAATCTTTCTCTTCTCGCTGCCGTTAACGTCATTTACTAACTTTAATTCTGCTTGTTGGTCAGCAGCCCTGCGTTCTGATGCTTCCATATCAGTTTTTCTTCTGACGTCGTTTACCGCATCTCGGATTTCTGACAACCTAGAGAAATATCGAAATTTTAGTAAACAACTGGATGGTCATATCGAGAGAGGTTCAGATTTCACTTCCACTAGTACCGCTAACACACACTGGCTTATTACGCATGTGATTGGTTAATCGGATATATTAAGCGCACGTGATTGGTTAAATATGAAAATGCTGCCTGTTCATACTGATTTACTTACGCAGTGAATATATAACAGTGTGTAAGCAATCAATTTTAAACTAATTTAATTTAAAATTTCTCTAACCTTGACTCGATATTTTGCTTCAGTTGTGATGTTCCTTCCAAGCTATCTCTAGTTGTCTTGCTTCGTTGCATATTCTCCATCTAGTAAATTAATAAAGTTATATATTCATTTCCAACAAACTGGGGGATTCAGTAGGGGGGAGGGGGTTTCGGTGGGGGGAGGGTCTTTCAGTAACAGTCAACGTTCTGCCAAAAGTGTGGTTTTTCTCTGGGTGCTCCGGTTTCCTCCCACAGGGGGAAAGTTGACAGGGTGGGTTAGGATAAACACAATTAGCCATATTTCTCAATCAAGCAGAGGACTGGGTCTGATTGATATTTCGAGGGACATTTGGAGGGACAACAAGTTATAGTGAGCGAGCTAAATATATATTAAAAAGTGCCCTTATTATAATTGTTGCGTTTCAGGCTGCACAAATAACTTTAGGAATGTAGGAAAACATCCTAGATGCCATATTCGGCATATTGTTTATTTTTTGTCCCTCCAAACAAGTGACTAGACCCAGTCCTCTGCTCGATTGGGAAATGGCTAATCACAATTGTTGTAAAGATAAAATATAGTCTAGGCTAAGTATGTAATTAGGGAAGTGCAATACTTGATTGTACCTCAGTAAAGTGCATTTGTATACCCACATGAAATTTGCACTATAGAAATGCTAATCTTAATCTTAAGCCTATATATATAAAAGTAATAACCAATGATGAAAACATAGAAATATTAAAAAAATGACAACGTAAAACAGTTCAACTTACTGCAGCGATGCTTTCGTTCTCAATTCTTTTCACTTTCTGTTTCATTTCCTGACTGGCACTATCAAACTCGGAGTTCTGCATTTCAAATCTGTGTTGAAGATTCTTCACATCGTCTCCGACCAATCTCAGCGAGCTCTGAATCTGTTCGTTCATCTGCCTCAACTCCGAAAGCTCGTCTCGAAACCGGCTTATATATCGATCAAGCTGTTCCCCTTTCATCATCGAGCGCTGTTGTCCGCCTGCAAGAGCGCGTTCCACCTCCTTCGATTGGTTGAGGAGACTTGCAAGGGTGGTATGCTCCATGTTGACCTTCTCTTCGGTACGCATCAACTGCATGGATACTCTGTTATACATGCCCTCGGCCGCTTCAACTTTGTCTTGTATTGCCAGCCTCTCTTGTCGCTCTTTGTGCACCATTTCTTCGTTCTGTCTCAAAGCGAGTTTCAAGTCTTGTTGGAGTTTCATCAGTTCTTCGAGAAGAACTCTGTTGGATTGTTCGCTCACTTTGATCCGGCTCTCCAAGTCGTTGACTCGTGGACCACCTCGGTAAGCGATGCTTGCAATGGCAGGAAGCGATTGAGGAACCTGCTTGTCCGTGCTGAATCTAGAATCATAATATATGAATACCGTATTTACTCGTTTGAGCGCCGCGGCGCTCTTTAAATTTTCAGAGCTTCAGATACATATATATTACATACATATATTACTCAGCACACTCCCTTATCAGGGGTTTTCAGTGACTGGTTACATTAGAGCAGACCGAGGTAGGCTGTGAGCTTACAAATGGCGCTTTAAGCAACCGCTATTAGTCCATACCTCATTAATGATCTGCACCCTGACCTATGTGCCTAACCTTTTCTTTCAAATGCGGCGCTCATTCGCGGGCGGCGCTCAATCGGGGGCGGCGCTCTTTAACAAAATCTTTTATTTTTGAATTATAACAAGAACTTTTAACAAAAAAATAAACAACTTTTAAATGTCTTTGTCACTAAATGTATCCATTTTGGCAATGGGAAGTATTTACACTGTTTAGTGCGGCGCTCATTCGGGGGCGGCGCTCAATCGAGTAAATACGGTAGTTCATCTTGAGCTCTCTCTTCGGCAGTGACTTAATCGATTTTACTCTGTCCAATGCAAGATGATTTTACAGGCAAGATTTTGTGGCATAATCTTCATTTTCCTTCATTGTGCAATGTCTATTATGAAGTATTAAGACCACATGTCCATGTCTTTTGCTAACCGGTTAAATTGGAACTTAAATCCTTAATGCATCTTACTTTGCAAACGGAACAGTATTGGGCATATAAATAGGTGAGCAGCAGAGGTATCACTGAGACATCAGGGCAATTGCGTGCCATATTTTATGCTCCCCAACAATGGGTTAATTATTAATTCATTAAGCAGCAATGAGCTCTTGTTGTCTTCTACTTGTAGGCAGATGATATTACTTGGCAAATGTATGTCTTTGAATATTTAAAGAGATTTTTGGGCATCACGCTTGATAGAACAGTTGAAGGGCATTTGTAGATCAGGGCCGTAGCAACTGGGGGGCTGCCCCCCAGTAATTTGCTAATGATCATTCTTTTTTCAAAATCATGCAGACCTTTATAATGTAATCCATGCAAAACCACAAAGAATGAAGATATTACCCATACTTTCCTGCAACTTATCCAAAATATAGTTAATTAAATATGCCTTCGCCCATTTAGTATACTAAATTGTAAATTTTGACATATTAAAACGCTGTTTTCTGACCATCAGAATTCTGTCAAATCTTCACCCAAAGTCCAGGAAATGGCATTTCAGAGACTCTAAATTTAAAAATTTCCTCGGGCCTTCGGCCCTCACTCTCAGCCCCCCTTCCTATGGCCATGTAGATGGAAATTGTGGACCTACCAAGAGCATGCAGTTGTGAAAAATGCAACTTACTATAGGCCCTCTGGCCTGCAACTATAGGCCTTCTGATCCTCTAAAATTGTATATAATCTTCTTTCGTTTAACAATTATTCGCCGAAGGCGAGGTGATTATCGGTGAATAAACACCGAGACAAGGTCAAGGTTTTTATTCACGATAATCACCGAGCCTGAGGTGAATAATTGTTTTAGTATAATTTCATAGGTGATTATTTGAAAAAAAATAAAAAATACACATTTCTTCTTCGTTTAATTGACAAAACAGCTTCGGCTGTCATTTCGAAAATCACTCAGGTGATTATCGCGTCATAATCACCGCAAAAACAACCAATCAGCATGGAGAATTTTCAATAATCACCTATGTAATTATACTAATAAATATTAAGGCATTCCCCATAACATTGAACTCATGTCTTTATAACATAACATAACTTCATTCCCTTAACATCCAAGTTTTGGTTTATACAATAGCAGAATAGGCATCGTCTATGGATCCTATAACTATAACACATCCTGGCATACATACGTGTTGTACAGTGTGGAAAACATCATATTTTCATTATGTAAATGTCATATGCTAAGTTAGCAGGTCAATTGCATGCAAATGCTGTGAAAACCCATCAAGATGTTTAAAATTAGCTTTACATGTAAAATTTTAGACAAATAGATGTAAATGAGTGTCTACATGATTCTGGCCTGTTTCAAGCATCGTGCTTCTCATGTGCCGAGCGCATTAGAAACAATAGATAATGAGGCATTTCAGCTGACTATCTATTGTTTTTAATGCGTTCAGTACATGAGAAGCGGAATGTTTGAAACAGGCCTCTGTTGGCCTCAAGTGATGGACAATATATGATACCTTAAAATACATATAAAGAATAATTATAGTGACTTAAATTAAGCTGCAGTACTATACTAGTTTTGAACGTCTGACAAGCAAGACTACTGTATTTACACCTAATGTAGTAGAAGATTCATTTGCAATAAGTCGTTCTTATTTTGTGAAGCCCCGTTCAAACGACGATGAGAGCTAGCAGTCACAAATTGTTACAGGAGGTGTTTCAAGCTCTAGACATTTCAAGCTCTAGTTTGATGAGTGTTCCAATTGCGTTTCAACTTAGCGATGATAGTTTTTGAAAAGTATTAAGAACAGCTAACCAAGTTTGCGTGACTTCTAACTCTAATCCCCATTTGATCCTGCCTTTACAAAAGTAATTATTCATATTGGAATGGACCAAAATTTCGCATGGGAATTCCAATACAAAATGTAATAGGAATTGCACGTATGGGAACTCATATTATAATTCCTATTGGATTCCATAGGATTTTGCCTATATAAAATTAATTCCTACAGGAATTTTTTGTATCATGAAAAATTCATATTGAGCAGAATTCCCTCGTAGCTCACCAAAACAAATGGGAGACTGCTATAAAAGTCAAGACTGGCCAAGGGCATATTTATCCAAACTGGGGCTTATTTTGCAAAATATTTATTTTTATTTTACCCAAATCAAATGCTAAATACACAGCTGATAAAACTACAAGGTACTTTTTCACAGCTAATGCCCTGAATGCATGAATATACTATTTGATCTTCCATTTAGTTTAAGTATTAAACTGTATTTACGTAAAATATTTCATCTTTGATACATTAAAACACACATTCTGCAAAGCCACAATATTTGCCAAAATCCCTAACAAACTTGCATTATTAGCTTAAAAAATACAACTTAAAAACTGAAATTACAGTCTTTCTATTTTACAAGTACACATTCAATAAACCTGCAAGAATATTACGTTTTTCAAAGACGTATTAACGTAATTATTTTGCCACCAAAAACCGCAGACAAAAAGACCTCTCAAAACTCGCTAAAACTAAACTTAAATTTCTTTAAAAGTTACCTTTCCACAACTGGAAGAGCTTTAATGTCTTTTTCATATTGTTTCCACATTTTGAAAGCGTCAAAACTTATTAAATTTGTGTTTCTTTTTAATTTTATTTTACGTGTCCCGTTTGCAGCTGCCAGCCGTCATATCACAGAATAGAAAATAAGACTATTATATATTCTATCAGAGGAGGAATGAGGGTCTTCCCACAATGCATTGCGTCTTATTATTATTCACAATTACAATTTTCAACGAACGTTTGGCGAAAAGTTGTTGAAATACATTGCGATTTTGGCTCCGTTTATCTCGTTTTTTCGAAGGTATGTTTTTATATTTGTATTATTTAAGACCCTAATTAAACTATTTTTGACTTGTTTGGTACAGGAATTGCTTTTTACTTATGCTAATTACGTATTGTAATTATGCTTGACTCGGGTCAGTGGACACGCCAATAAAATGACCTTGATATAATGCAGAAGCAAACTCACTTTTTTTTGAGGAAAATAAAAACAAAACACGTCATCGAATTCGGGAAGATTTTTTCTTTCTACTGTTACTTTAAAACATGAGTTTGCTCCACTAAACCGACAAGTAATCGCGGTTCGAAAATGGGGTACTTTCGCTATATTCTATCGCCGATGGCGGGAATAGACCTCCTGATAATCATCATGGCGCGAAGGAAACTATTGTACTAAATCACTATTTTCCATGATAATTTTGAAACATATGCATATATGTTCCTACATATTTTAAGTTTAATGTAATTTCTAAGGTTAGATATGCTTTATATGTTTACTGTACCTGCACTGACTGTATTTTTTTCATTTTATTATAGAATTCGGCTATTTTGGAGTAAACTCGAGAGTAAACTGGAAATGACAGTTATGATACTGCTATAAAACGGGTATATACTTCAGTAAAGGTGATACCCCAGGGAAACCTAATAATAAGAGACACAGAATTTCTCGTTTGAAGAATTCAGCATCAAGCCGAACTTTGTTTCAGTGTCCTGGAACATCACCAATGCCAAGGTGTAAAAGTACAAAGGTTTTTACAAACATAATTCATAAAATACAGTACGACTACACAAAAACATAATTGTATATTTTTAATAAGACAATATGTTAAATATTATGCTAAAAGTTATTATCATAGTAACAGTAACATTGTATTTTAATGCTTTTTTGCCTGGGAGAATTTCTGTCCATAGGCATATGAGGCTGGGCATTGCAACCCCTCCAGTCAGTGTTTAGTATTTCTGCAAGTCTGTATAGGAGATGTGTTCCTTCTATTTTATACCTCTTGTTCATCTATCAATAAACTCATGACAATGTCGGGCAGTTTATATCCACCCGTACGCCACTATTATTTTTCAATGCTGGTAGTGGCATTCCAGAAAACCTATAGTACACAAATTTCCTGGAGAAGCATGCCCACAATCCTGGTAAAAATCCATGAGTTTCTTTGTTGTTGTCTAATTGTGCTGGTAGGCAGCCTGGCACTGACATTGCCCCTCTCACTTTTGCTGTTTGTTTTGTAGTTTCCTATCAGACAGATTAAACTGACTCCTCCAAAGAAATTCCCAGTAGAACTTCATAAATGGACATATTTTGAAGAAGATAAAGCATTCATTGAATTCATATCTGTTGCAGACAATCGTGCAAATGATTATGATTGAAGAGGCTTACCAATTATGTAATATCTCTAGAGCAAAAGCATCACCTTTCATATACTTCATCATATACCATTCATGTGTACTGGTGAAATCAATGTGATGCAACATTTTAAAAACTTCTCTTTACTTTTGCACATAAAATTTTATTTTTAAAAACATTTTAATTATCTTTAAGTACAGTAATATTATGTTAATATTTTTTTGATTTAAAATAAATCAATTTTATCAACATCAATTATGTAGTGTGTGATCTTTTTATTAATTTGTGATGAGCAAGGGAACACTACACTGAAAACCATACATACTGTGAACCTCCGAATATAAGCCCCTGTGTATAAGCCCCCCCCCCCATGTATAAGCCCACCACATGTACTAACGCTCACCTCATTCCAAATATAAGCCCCACCCTGATTATAAGCCCCCCTCATTGTCTTTATAGCTTACAATGTTAATCAAAGTGTGTTATTAATACATGTTTATTTTCCTGTTTATGACTGACTTGTTTATTACTAACACAAAAGATTGTCCATGTATAAGCCCCCTTGTGTAAGCCCATCAAAAATTGTTTACGAAAGAATATAAGCCCAGGGCTTATAGTCGGAGGTTTACGGTAGATTGTCAAAAAACTGCAGAACTGATAAGATGGTGTCCATGGGATACAATACTTATGATAGAATCAGGGAAGTGAGGAAAACACATGCAGTACAGGAAAACAAGACTGTACCACTAGAAGCTCCCCAGCTCTATCCTTACAGATAAAAGAAATATCAGTATCACACCAGACACCAATAAACAATTTTGCATCTTCTGCCAAACATTTTGTTTGAATGTTTTTTTTAACCCATTGAGTGGTAGCACTCTCCCCCTGATGAGTAATAAGTCTAGTGTTAAACAGTAAAATAATCTGGTGTTAGGTAGAGTAAAATAATAGACAACTGGTTGATCATTTGAGCATAGATAACTGGTTGATCAGTATAAATCCTTGCAATGCATCACACAGTAGTGAATACATATATATATAGTGTTGTGATAGTGCTGAATTTCCTCCATTTCATTCTCTACATTCACTGCCCCTCCTTCAGTTTCACCATCACCACTGCTACCACTGGGCGCTTCTTCCATCATTCGGTGTGTATGAATGTCCGTCAGGGCAAACAGGATTTATTGGATAAATAAAACAATTACAATCAGTTGGCTGGTGTAAATCTATTGGTGGAAGTACACTGTCCAGCTCATCATCTTGACTATCTGGGTCACATGGTGGGATGTTGGTGATGTTGAAATATCAACCTCCTTCCTGTGGATCATTAGGGTCGAAGAACTACATGATATGAAATAAAAATACGTTTAATACTGCTGTATTACAACAATTCTAAGCGAAATATATCAATCACATCATAGATGACTGTATTTTATATAATTTATACAGTACGAGAGCATTTTTATATTTCTATTTTATACAAATCATCTTACCTTAAAAACACAACTAGAGTGAATTTGTACCAGTGCAGGATTACCGCAATCAGGGAACAATTTCATCAATTTTTATCCCGTTAACCACAGCTGGACAAAGGACTATTCTTCAAACTATCTGTATTCCGTAAAACTACATAAACATGAACCTCACGACATTTCAAGTTCATCACACGGTAGTCCTTCCGGAATCAAGATTAATTAATGGCTGTTTTGACACACAGTGAACAAACAGAAGCTCGTGTCCACCCAAAAACGAAGCTTTCTTTCCACGAATAGTGCAAAAATTCACCATTTTACAATTTTTTTTCTATAAATCTTTTCCGAATCGCTCGTCGAATCCTCGAGGTGTAAACACAGCGAGAGCCAACCGAACAATGACGGCGCAGAGCGAGAAATCGGTAATATGTAAAAAACCGCGCCTGACCGCGTTGCATGCCGGTATAGTCCTCACTCCTCCTCTGGAGGGGGATGGAAAGGTCTCATATTACATGTTTCCACTTCCGCACTTCACACTTCGATTGCAAGGAGTGGCCGTGCTGTACAATAATCTTTGAGAATCATATATTCTTCAAAATTCTTGCTAAATTGGTTTCTGTTTGCCGTTTTAAATTATATTATGGTAAAATGCAGATTCTTGTACTAACAGACAAGTCAGCAAATCAAGCAACGAAAACGTATGACCGTATGGTTTGAAATATTTGCGTTTTTAATATTCTCTCAGGGTTCGGGCGCAATATTTTCATTTCATACGTACGTTTCTGTCCTGGCTCTGCCTCTGGTTCAGATATTTACAATATTCTTATAATATGCCATTGAATTGTTGTAATATAGAAAGAAAACGGTATACTGTTTTGTATAATAGAGGTATCAAAAGCGACTGACAAAATTGTTTGGAATCGACACTCGACAGCGCACTTTTTTGTCTTCACGACTACCTGTTTGTTGAGCCAAAATATTGCACAGAATCTCCTATAATAAATTATAGCTATCGCCATTCACCCTCCCACCCTGAATGCAAAGGAATGATATCCGAAAAGATTTAGCAAAGTATTTGTTATTATATCTGGTACGAAGTGTCCCTATACGTTTTATCAGGGATATATATTTATACATACATAATTCATAAACTGTATATGCGCACCAAGTCTCGCTCATAGAATTACTAATTAATGAGTTTTATTAAGCCTTTTAAAGTTTCTATTGATACTGATAGATACGTTGTTTGCTTACAGTTACGAAGTATCGTTTGGTGAAACTTCTAAAATTTCAATTACAGTTACGACACAGTATAGGGGTATATAAAGTTGATTTAAATATTGATGACTCACAGCGGCATTATACAAGTCGAAAGAAGCTGAATTTTAAGTTGGATTATTCTTCAAATAATGCCTGGGCATTAATACCAATGCCAATGAAAGGTCTTTATAAGATTTATAATGTTTACTGCAATATATGATATAATTTAGTCTAGTGCATATATCGTCCTAGATATTCAAGTTGTACCGCACGCACCGAGGAGTCTTGGCGTGTGATAACAGTATACTGTAGCTGTACTTCGACATATATCATTCTTGATCGTTGAGCTGTTTCAGCAATGTAAATAAAAGGAATAACGGGTTTTAATCCTGTGCTTACGGTAATTCACAGTCAAAACAGCACTATTGTTTTTATATACACAGTTGGCGATGTCCAGTACTTCAGTTGGGAAATCAAAGGATCCCGTTATAAAATAAATCCTTTGTTTTGAATATCGGACAGGATACATTTCAACTATAAACAACCATATCATATCTTTCGTTTTATATAAATACCGTTTGATCGATCAGTCGGTGTAGAAGATATCAGATATGTATGTTTATACGGCGATCTGATGCGTGCTCACTAGCCAGGCGCGTGTGGAGTATATTTTTCCTTGCAAGTGAAATATGATCCAGCTTCTCGCTTGAAATGTACCGCAGCACTTATTATTGATGACATTCAATATAGCAGGAAATCTTGTCATGATCAGTACGAATTTAGAACAGTATCAGAGGAACAGTATAAATCATGTTTATTAATACATGTAAAGTGAAGTATACAGCACTAATGCATCTGGCGAATGTCAACTACTACATTCCCACCCCTCCCAGATTGACAAAACAACGCTAATTAAAAATCTGCTAGATTTTAGCAGATCACGTGACCAGCGTCCACCAGGGGCTTTGCTTCCCAAGAGCAAATACCCTGGGAACGAGGTTGGAGAGCGGCATTGTGTGAGTAACGATTTGCTTGGTTTCTTGACTTGACTGTTGGTAAAAATGTAAAAATGTAAGAATGTTCTTGTAAATTCAAAGCAAAGAAAATAAACAAAAATTAGCAAGTATTTTGAACTTAATAATGTTTTTAACTGTTAAACAAAATATCTCCACCGGAATCATGTAATTTGATACTTTCCCCACACCCCCTCGGGCGCTAAATTTTGGAAGAGGCACGTGACCAGCCCATACCAGGGTATTTCCTAAATACCCTGGGAACGAGGTTGCAAGGGATCTCGTTTCGTATTCAAAGAGGCAATGGCACCCCGGAACAAACCATCCCGTCGCCTGCAAGCACTTATCGGTTAATCCACATTCACGAATACCGCGTGTGTGACAACACCGAAAGCCCATCATCGCATCAATACTTATACATTCTACCTATCTCTCGACAAAGTGCTTGTGTGCTTTGGGAGACGTTGTGCTAAACGACTCACTTTTAGAAAACAGCTTTGATGCTGTGGCAGAGTTTTACAATGTCGATAGGGGTCTTCTTGAAGTCGAGAAGAATATGTATCACAATTCCATCATGGATGAGTCCAATCCCCAGGCGAAAACTGCAGCAGACGCAGTGCCGTAGCAAGCTCGATAGGGGGCAGATTTTCATGTATTCGTGTTCTGCGTTATTAATTTCTTTAGAAATCGATTGTTTTTATGGTCTGTGAACACGAATATATGAATATCTGCCCCACCCCCAATTATCGAGCTTGCTACGGCACTGAGCAGACGTCGTCGACAAAATGTTTCAGGATGGACTATGCGACTTATTACCTGTACTATGCGAGGCAGCAACCATTCTTGCATCGATTCCTGCTACACCAGTTGCTTAATTATTCAATAAAACCCACAATGTAAGTCGAATTCAATATGACCACTGATCTGTAATAAGGCTGCATACGTATAGCGCATCTGCTCCGTGCATGAGCCCATAACTGCATAAGTATTCAGCCATATTGGATGCATGGGCCCACCATTATATATAGTCTAATCTGGTGTTGTGGACATGTTCAACTCTTCCTTTATGTTTCTAGTCACAAGTGGGAAAGGACAAATATTCATGCCTAGATTAAAAATTTATCATCAGTATAGCCTCTCTCTTTTCCTAAATTTATGCGGACTACTTGATCAAATATACTAAATATGGCCGCCATAAGCCTCATTATGTGGTGTGTAAAACGTTCTAAAACTATTTCGAAGAGGTTTTGGAACTTGGAAGCTATATTTCACAAGTCACATAGGCGAAGAAAATATTTGCTTTATAGTCAGATGGTCATAAATTTGACTGATTTATAAATCTCATATCATCATAAATATTCTGGCTTCAAAATCGGGTTACTGAATTCAATAGGATGCTTTATCCAGTCCTTATTTCAGAAAAGAGTGAAGAACATGCACTGAGCTATATGTTAATGCACGACTATGGTAGCTAATGGAGACACGCATGATTCGAGATCAAGTGGACATTTCATATATCTATTGCTTTAAATACAAAAACTTACTTAATATTATATATGTCTTACTCTAGCTTCAACAACTGCAGAAACAAGTTCAAAGTCAAGGGAATACACAGCAAAAAATCATTTTCTTAAGAAAAAAAATTCTTAATTTAAGAAAAAAATCTTAAAATAAGAAAATAATTTTCTTAGTAAGAAAAAATTTTTTTGAAATAAGAAATTTTTGAATCCCAATATATCTTTTTCTTAAAATAAGAAAAAAATTTCTTAATAAGAAAACATTTTCTTAAAATAAGAAAATTTTTCTTATAATTTCTTAGTTATGTCGAAAGCATTTTCTTAAGAAAATACGATTTTCTTACTTTAAGAATATGTTCGTAAGACAAGAAATGAAATTCTTAAAATACAAAATTATAAAATAGTAAGACATTATTACTTAAATTTTCGAAGCAAGAAAATGTAAAATGCTAGTGTTATAGGACAACTGATATCTTAACAAGACTTAGAATAACGTAGCTATATCTTATTGCGTCAGGTAAATTTGTAGTTTTTATTTCGAATTGAAGAGACTATAGACCGGCAGCTCACGGTTGATCAAACACTAAATGGCCGGCAGTACATTGACTATACAGTTAAAGTTGAATCTTCGGTATAAGATAGATAAACCCAGGGACGCCGGAACTGGGGGGGCAGTGGGGGCGGCTGCCCCCTTGCCTTTTGCTAGGGGGGGGGGCAGGGGGGGGGCAGAAGTGCCCTTTTAGTTCTAAAAAAATACGTGATAAATCACATTTACAACGATAGTTTTTGTACGAAAATCATGAGATTCAGACAATTTACAGTTTATATTTAATTTGACTTCTGGAGCCGGTTGTATAAAAAAGTGATTAAAGTTAACTATAGTTAGTGGAAACGTCATCCAATAAGAAGCGCGTATTTGAGAGTTAATCACTATTTAACTACAAAATAGTGATTAAAAAGTAATTAAGAGTTTTATACAACCGGCTCGTGGTATGTCCGGAAAAATTTTTTGACCCCTAAAATGGTACACTGACCGAAATATTTTTGGCGACGGGAGGGGTAGGTCGCCGAAATTTTTCGAGTTAAAAAAAAAAATTCGGAAGATTTTGAAGTTTTGCTTTAGAGAGGTGCCCTTGCTGTGTGTCCGCCCCCCCTTTGCCTTATGATCGTTCCGGCGTCCCTGGATAAACCGATCCCCAATCCCAAACCCTTCTCTAACCCTAACCCCTAACCCTAACCTTTTGAGAGTTAGACCGGCTGCCGGAAATATAGTCACTTTGTTTTTATTTCGTTTCCAAAATTTGAGCTGGTTTCAGTTTTATGGAATCGCTGAAGAGAATTTTTGCCCTCCGGAATTTTTATCCCAGCTTTATCCAAGCATAGATGATCCAAGCAGGAATAGTTCGCCACAGTTCGCGTATTCACTAAACGCCTGGTACCTAGTTTACCTTTTAGAACGCGGAGCATCGCGGGATAGCGTCGTTTTACATTATTGTGAAAAATTTTATAATAATTATGGCATTCACAGCGCCTTCAAGGCAATTTAAATGGCAAATAACGATGGGAAAAGCATCAGAAAGTCCTTAAAATGTTGTTCAGATACCACAGGTAAGAATAATTGTATATTTGACTTGTTATTTAATGCGTCAGCCGTGAGGCCCTGGGACCGAGGATGATTCATTGCGAAATACAATCTCGTTCCCTGAGCCTGCGATCCTCGGGAAGGAACGCGAGGCTCTGGGATAATCCGTTGCCGGAAGCCGGGAATTCTGGCTAAGATTGAACTACGCATTCCATTTTAACGGCCAATTAGATTCCTCCCTGAAACGGATTATCCCAGAGCCTCGCGTTCCTTCCCGAGGATCGCAGGCTCGGGAACGAGATTGTGCGAAATAATGTAGTGATTATGACTGTTTACTTGAGCGAAGTGTGAAAATATTCCATTGAATGTTTGAATTTGCCGCGTTCGTTTTGCATATAAAACATGCAAATGTTGCTTTCAGGCAAGGGACGGAAGATTAAAATATAAATTCAAATCTATTGTTGTGAATTCCATACTAATTTACGCACTAATAGTAACAATTTGACAATATTAAATTGCCTTTGACAATTGACATTGGCACTTTGCTAGACCTTTGTCAAGACTCAAGGCTATATTATATAGCCTTGAGTCTTAATTGACAAAGGTCTAGCAAAGTGCCAATGTCAAAGGCAATTTAATATTGTCAAATTGTTACTATTAGTGATAATAGTAATTAATAATTGTTACTATTAGTTATAAAGTTTATACAGTTTATAAAATATGAATGTTTCAATAGTTTCTTTTGGTGGGAAAAAAGCGCTGGAGCGATACATTTTGGTTGGTGGGTATCACATCAAGGTTCAGAGATGAATTACTGGGGTAGAGCGGCAGTTAACAGCGGAAAATGTGCATGTGGAATGACCAACAGCTGTGTCGGTGGAGGAAGGTGTAATTGTGACAAGAATGGCCAGGCTTGGCGTGCAGACAGTGGATATCTGACAGACAAGGAAACATTGCCTGTTACTGAACTGAGATTTGGAGATACCGGTGATACAAGATACCCATACAGAGAATCAGGATATCACACATTGGGAAATTTGCGATGCTGGGGTTAGGATCGAAGAACGTATTTTCAGGGATAATATACTGAAACGTTATTGATTAGACGTTAAAAACACATTTGATTAGTAATGTAGAATGCGTTTTTGGTAGATTTGGCAAAAGTTCTCAATCATAAATAGTTTAGCAAAAAAGTAAAGAACTCAATAATTTATGACATGATTATAGCAAACAATGTGCACAATGTGAGTAGCTTTACCAGACTATTCACTTCGTTCACAAAGTTAGTACCGTATAATTAATCAATATAAGAAGCTTATCAAACTTTATATAAACTTTAAAATTAACAATTTAAGTTTATACGTAACTATTGTGCAATAAATAAATTATCTATAAATTTTCAGAAGACTCATTATATGGTAATATGTATCTTCAACGAGAAAGAAACTAAACAGCATTGAACAAAAATGTTTTATTAAGTTCTTGGGGATTTTTCTGGATGAACATATCAATTGGACTAATTGGAAACAACAAATAAAACATGTCAATAATAAAATAGCTAAAAATATTGGAATTATAAATAAACTTCGACACTATTTAGACTTAAAAATGATAAAGCAATTATATTACACACTTATTTATCCTTATTTAAATTATGGAGTAATGAGTTGGGGAAATACATACAAGTCTAGTTTAACGAAAATTAGTACCAAACAAAATAAGTGTCTAAGGAATATGTTCTTTGCATATAGCAGGGAAAGTGCTACTCCGTATTATAACCTCATGGAAATACTTAAATTTGAAAACATATTTAAGCTAAAAAATGCAGAGTTTAGTTATAAAATAGTTAATGAAAGATCAAATATTCCGTCTATCTTCTTAGAGTTTGTGAGACCAGCATACCAACAACACAGTTATAATACAAGATTTGCTTCAAAATTAAATTTTGTCAGGCAAAAGGTCAAGACAAATTATGGAAAGCACACTTTTCAATTTGTTGCATCAAAAATATGGGAGTCTATTGACTTGAAAATAAAAAGTTCGTCTTCATTTGAAATCTTTAAGAAAAGATATAAAGCTGCCCTTCTACAAAATCAATGAAAAATGTTATTGAGACTTGAGTCTATATGTGTATGTATATTATATATGTGTATATGTATGTGTATATGTGTACATATGTATTTGAGTGTCTTTATTTAAGCTCAACCATATAAAATAATCTATATGATCGAACGTAGGTAGTGATCAACTCGAAAGTTTATGCTCCTTTGATCACTACGCACCTTCACTTTATCAAATTAACTTGAAATTATTCATTCAAAACATAATTATTTGTAAAATTTTGCATACATTTGCTTTGTTTTGTAAATAGTGCAGTTCCTGAATAAGTCTCTCTAAATCTCTCTAAAATAACTCAGTCTGAATTATGTTTAATCTAAATAGAATGATACAATTAACTGTTGCATCGGAATCTAAATTGAAAAGAATAAAAGTAAATTGGAATAATCAGAATATTGTTTCCTGTTATTCTTTGATTTGGGGTTGCAAAAATGCCAAAGCTTTAAGAAATTGCCCTCTCTGTGAAACTGCATATTTACCAAAGTATAGAAAAGTGCGTACTTTGTTGTTCCATGCAGAAATATTAGCCTTATACAACAATAAGAAAATGACTCTGCCTTGAAGCGGTTCACGCTTATGCATGTTGTAAACCTAATGTTTGCGACAGCTTTTTTTCACAGTCAATATTCCCCCGGTAGTAGGAAAATTACCGAAATTTAACATTGTTAAAATGTTCATTTTCCCGCCCTATCGCAGGGTCGGGGGCCCGGGGTTTCAATGGAATAGTGCATAATCATTGTGAAAATGTGAAATGCTTAATTTAAATATTAGTTGCGTTTTGGATTACTGGAGAACAGATTAAAATCTAATTTAAATTCTCTTTTGTGATCAAAAGTTTAACCTGTGTTAATACAACAGGTGTGACTACCAGTGCATGGTAAAAGCACCGGAGCGTAAAAAGGTTTTTCATAGATTTTTCCGCAGTTAACTACATTTTGTCGTTTCTTTTCTAAAAATATCACTGTTCTCAATAAGACTTTGAGTTCAAAAATCATCAACAAAATGCACTTTGCAAAACGTTTTCATTATTAAGAAGTATAATTAAAATTAAATACTATATGTAAATGTCTAAAATTAAATAAATCTAAAATTTTAATTAGCATTATAATTTGAAAGATTTAGGAAAAGCTTGGAAGTGCGACAAACATATAGTCCAAAGATTATTTTCTCGTAAAGCTATAATATTTGAATTTATTTTCTTTCACAAATAATTCATTACAAAATATATTAAAACTAACAAACTTATGACAACATAATGAACACCAGTTGCATGATCGAATCGCTTCAAACATCGTTCAAGTCTTCAATTGGCTGGAGTCACCAGAGCAAAAATTCTTCCTCTTTTTATTCATTAACTAAGTATAGATATAATATCTTAAGGAAAACATGATCTCATATAGTTCACAGATATACGTTAACGATCAACAACTGAATCTCAATTTTCCTGAAACATAAACATCAAGAAGGAAGTAAAGCCATTTGAAATCGTGAGTTATTCTCTTTTTCATTGCTTACAAAAATTAGAGACGAATTAAATAATTTAGGAGTTTGAATACAAAGAGGAAGAGTTATTATGCCATGCATAATTTCTTTTAAGAAAAGTGCAATGTACATACTGATACTTGTTTCACAAGATAAATTATTCCTTTCCACAACTTCCATTGGAATAATAGTTTTTCTTTAATTAATGTTGGGTAACATTATCATAGTAAGTTGTTTTCTTTCCCGCGAATATTCTGATATAGGCTTTAAGAAACCAAGGATTTGTATGTGTTTCCTATAGTTCCTTGAAGTTCTGTCTTAAAATTGACATGAAGATCTTATCAGATGATGATGAATTATCTGTTTCATAGAGATATAAATTTAAGGAGACAGGAATAGGAGTTGTGTACAGGAATATATTAGACCAGTCCGTCTAAATCATGAAAAAATTATTTCATGTGTTCAGAGAATTATTGATAAATCTTTATATGGCTTATGTTGTAATGCATTAACGGGATTTATTTATAATATACAGTAATGCATTAACACCTTGCCTGTTTGAGCCTATAATGTACTAGTCAATTGAAACCCGGCCACCGACCCCCGGGAAAGGACGGGGAATTAACGGGGGAATGGCAGTGGATTAACAAGGTCTTAATGCACCATTTTTCCCGGGGTACAGGGTAAATAACAAGTCAATTCATTAGCCAGGACAATAGCCGCGACTTTAACACGCGGATGATATGAAAGTGGACTGGAACGAGTTTATCCTCGTGGCAACATGGCACAATCTTCGAAATTTTAAAAAAAGTGCAATGTACATACATACTTGGTTCACAAGATAAAAGTATTCCTTTCCACAACTTCCATTGTAAAAATAGTTTTTCTTTAATTAATGTCGGGAAAATTATCTAGCTAAGTTGCTTTCTTTCGCGCGAATATTCTGATCGGCTTTGGGAAATCAGGAATTTTTATGTGTTTCCTACAGTTCCTTGAAGTTCTGTCTTAAAATTGACATGAAGATCTTGTCAGATGATGATGAGTTATCTGTTTCATAGAGATATAAATTTAAGGCGGAGAAAGGAATAGGAGTTGTGTACAGGAATATATTACCAGTCCGTCCAAATCATGAAAATAATTATTTCATGTGTTCAAAAAAATTATTGATAAATCTTTATATAGCTTATGTTCTAATGCATTAACGGGATTTATTTATAATATACAGTAAAGCATTAACGCCTTGCCTGTTGGAGCCTATAATGCACTAAAAAGTCAATTGACCATTTACGTAATAGACTAAATTTTGATCTAGACAAAAATTTCATTACAGCTTGAAAGAGCATCACAAAATTAGTAATATTCCAACGTTTCGTTGCGAAATGTTGTAAAATGCGGAAAATATAGCCTTGCGAAGTTTGCAATTTTCAGTCATTTTAGATTACAAACGGGAAATTGACAGCCCGATACGCTTTGAGCCTTCACATGTTTTGAACATTTTATACTTCAACTGATTTTCCATTTCCCAAGTCATGAAAATTTGAAAAGTGCAAGGGCCGTAGGGGCGGTAACTTTAACAGTCAATATTCCCCTGGTAGCAGGAAAATTACCAATATTTAATATTGTTAAAATGTTCATTTCCCCACCCTATCCCGGAGGTCGGGGGCCCGGGGTTTCAATTGACTAGTGCATAATCATTGTGAAAATGTGAAATGCGTAATTTAAATATGAGTTGCGTTTTGGATTACTGGAGAACATCTTAAAATCTAATTTAAATTCTCTTTTGTGATCAAAAGTTTAACCTGTGTTAATACAACAGGTGTGACTACCAGTGCATGGTAAAAGCACCGGAGCGCGAAAAGGTTTTTCATAGATTTTTCGACAGTTAACTACATTTTGTCTTTTCTTTTCCAAAAATATCACTGTTCTCAATAAGACTTTGAGTTCACAAATCATCAAGAAAATGCACTTTGCAAAATGTTTTCATCATTAAGAAGTATAATTAAAATTAAATGTTAATATGTAAATGTCTAAAATTA